ATAGTGACTGTGATTCAGAGACTGAGCTCCAGAGTCAGACCATCCAGGCTGCTGCTCAGCCCACCAGCTGCCACCTTGGGCAAGTAACCTAACTTCTCCGGGCCGCAATTTCTCACTCATAAGTTGCCATGAAGAGTGGATGAGTAAATTCCCGTAAAGTGGGATGGTACCTGCTTATTATTGAGTGTGTGCCATCCTCCAGGCACTGTACTAAGTACATTACATGAATGACCTTGCATCCAGAAACTAAGCGTGATCAATGTTATTATCTGACGAAGGCTGGGATCCCCAGAGGACAGACCAGGATGCAACTGAGAGCAGTTTACTTGTGAGCTAACTCCAAGAAACACAAGTAGAGTGGGGAAGAGTCAGCAGTTACCACTGTGAATAACTGGGCTCCAATCCTGCTAGATTAACTGAGAGGTGTGTAGAATATGCATACAGGGCATCTATACACCTACTCTCCTCAGTTACAGTTGGAGGCTGCTCCTGGAGACAGCCTTGTTTGCTCACGACTGTCCCAGCTTCAGCCCTGAAAGTCCTATGATCTATGAACTGGGAAACCCCTCCTTCCCAACCTGCATGGTTGGCCACGCTACTTGGAGTGTACTCATCCCCAGCACTTCCAGTGCAGCAAGCGAGCAAGCCTGGAGATGCAGGTGCCAGCAACCAGGAGTATACCAGGTACTAAATGGTCAGGCTCAAGGGGATGAGGCTGGGGTGCACAGCCCCATTTTGGGGTGAGAAAAGTAGAGCTGAGAAAGGCTAGGTAATCTGCCCAGGAGTACACAGTGGGAAGTGGCCTGGGGGTGGGGGTTCAAACCCATGTCGGTCTGATGCCAAGGCCCATGCTCTTGACCATCAGGGTCCATAGCTCCTCCTTCCACATAGCAGCAACGGGGACATAGATTGGGGGAGCTGGGAGGACAACAGGAGAGCAGCTAGTCTTGTGACTGGAAACAGACTTATCTGTAGGCAGACTGGCGTAACATTCAAGAGGCCAGAAGGACAGTAGATGAGTGTCGGACAATAAAGAGGTAGAGCCTGTGGCCAAAAGGAGAGGACGGCAGCCTCCACAGGGGGCAGCAGATGCTCAGCTCAGGCTGCTTCCTGCTGTATGGGAATGAAGGACCAGTATTACTAAACCATCCAATTTTTCAAGGGAAGCTGGATTTTTATAGTAAATCTCTGAAGTATTACATATTATCTAAGAATTTTCTAAAATAGAAACCCAAACCCGTGTGAATGAAAACACCGCACATTGGTCCACTCACCTCTGCACGTAACCCTAAGGGCCGACATTGAGGACCCTTTTCTTCAACAGGGGTCTCTGTAGAAATGGGGGCTGGCTCCACGTGCATTTGGTGCACACATCCACCCTCACTGAGCTTTATCTGTTTTTTGTCTTTGTTACTGTCTGGCCATATTTCCCCACATGTATATCTATGGCAGACATCCAGCTCATGGGCACCAGAACAGCCACACTGGTTGTTAACAGATCAGTAACTAGCTGGTGCCTGTAGTCCCCCAGTCAGCCCGTGTACCGACAGTCCAACCCCTTCCCTGGGATTCCCACACTACCCCTCGATCCAGCAACTCCAGGGTTAACTCCTGACAGGTCAGGGGCCTCAGCCAGCGCAGATCCCTCTCATTCTTCAGTGCCCAAGCATCCTCCCTTTCTCTCTCCCTCTCCCATTCTCTCCATCACTATCTCCGTCTCTCCCTCGCTCACTTTTTAAAAAATTATACGACCATCTTGAATCCTTGTTGAGTCAAAGATGTAAAGTTATAAACAGTGGTGTGCTGGCAAATGTTGAACAATCAGCTCTCCAGGAGTAGAGGGGAGTCCTGATTTGTAGCATTTGCTGCTTTCCATGGTGTAAACAGATATTCACACCCTGATGGATTTCAAGCTACCAACATGAGCAAATGTGGAGTTGTTGAGAGATGTGCAGTGGCACACCGTTAGCCAGCATTTATTACATAGACACGAAGCTGCAAAACACAGATGATAGGAAAATACTTAGGAAATAATGCATTCTGAGTAGTTATTACCTTCGTTGCTAATATAATTTATTATTGTTTCTACAACTCAATTTTTTCATAATGCCTGTGTTTCACAACTAGGTACAAAATTCCTGAAAATTTTAGCCATCAGCTCTTGTGAACTGATGAGCTGGCTCTGGTAACCACTGGATAAATAAATAGAGGAAGGAAAATTACAAAAACAGGTGCTTGGTGGTCAAAAAACCAGGACCTGGGGGAGAGTCACCATCCAACCTCAGGTGGGCAATTCAGGCCTCTCCACCCAGAACCCCCTACCTCTGCAGCTCTCTAACCCCACTGCCCAACCCCACCTACCTGCAACAGGAAGTCGAAGAGCGCCAGGCGTGCCCACTCGGTATGATGGATGCCCAGGCATGGGGCCTGGCCTGGCCAGCTGCAGCCGTGTGCCAGCAGGGCCTGGTACTGCAGCCAGCCCAAGGCCAGAGAGTTCTGATCCTCATCCGGGTCACTCAGATGCTGCACATCGGGCGCCCACCAGATGACAGGCCTCGCTCTACCGTCTGTGTAGCGGTAGGGCAGGAGGGGGCTGTGAAAGCGGCGGGCCACAGCAGGTAGGCTCCGACGCAGCCCCAGCACGCGATCTACGTGGAAGGACAGGACCTCAGGCAGGTCCCCAGGCCTCTTGATCAGGCCACAGAGCCCCTGGGAGCAGAGTTGGCTGAGCCTGGGAGAGGACATGCCCTGAAGGGCACCCTCAGCGGAGAAGCCAACCTGTAGCACCTGCCCATGGGCGGGGACCCTGGCTTTGCCCCCCACCTCCCCCTGCGCCAACAGCCGGAGCATCTGCACGTCGTGGTCTGTCAGCCATGGGGGAGCCTGCCCATCAGTCCTAGAGCTGCTCAACAGCGTCTCAGCGTCACACCATACTGACCCTTGCAGCTTCTCAACAGAGCCAGGCCACTGATGAGCCCCTGAGGCCAAGGTGGGATCCTCTGCTTGTCGCCCACCAGTCAAGGCTCTGTTCTCAGCTGCCAGCAGATCCCTGCCTTCTGCTGTATGGGGCCAGAATGTCAGCCCAGCAGTAGCTCTCCAAGCCCGTAAAGCTGCCACGTCGCTCCCTGGGAGTGGACCGACCAGGGCAACCATCTCACTCTGTGTCTCTTGGATGGGACCGCCATGCTGGGGGTGACCCAGGTCTTTGGCTCCTGGATCTCCGACCTCATCCTCCCTCAGGAGCACAACATGCTGAGTACTGAGTCTTGGATGTCCTGACAAAGTAATGTCCCTCCTGACCCTTCCTGGATGCCTGAGGTACCCTCCTAGGGACTCCCTGCTTCTGTCCACTCTTGCTCTATGGCCTTGCTCCTCAGCACAGACCAAGATGGAGTTCCTGGGCAAAGCACGGCCTCTCCAGAAGCCCATGTTTCTTGCCCGCTGCCTCCGGCTGGAGCTCAAAGCCTGCCGGATACGGGTTGCAGGGGTGCCAGTTACCCCCTGAGGCTCCATGGGACCAGGGTCTGGGCCAGCAGATGGGCGCTGTGGGGGAAAGCGGGTGACAGCCATCGCAGAGAGGGTCATCAAGAGGCAGAACGCTATCACTGGCCGCCTCTTGCCACGCAGCCTTCTCCAGAGCCAAGACGCCTGGGAGACAGGGTAGAAAAAAAAAGCTTAAGACCTGGGAAATACAACAGCTCAACCCACAAAACAATGGGGATGGGAAGCAAAGGAGACGCCCAGTTCATGAGAGACTGAGAAGAGCACAGCCCAAGTGGAGGGACAGCTGGCTGCCTTCAAGAGAGGAAATGGGCAACTCCAGCCAACTGCACTCCTGCTTCCAAGCTTGGCTTGCTTCTCCTTCTAGGGCAGCCTCTGCTGAGGCCTGCAGACCCATGCTCTTCTGCCCTATTCTCCCTTCGAATAAACTGCCATTACAACACCGTCACCATGCACCTTAAGGGGTTTTTCTCATGTCTGTCCCCATCACCAAGATCTGGCCTTCTCTTTTTGTCTCCATGGGCCCATTCTGGCAGATCTCTTGATGTCCCCACACACATGCCCTTACCCTTTTCCAGGCACATGGAAACCCAGTCAGAGATGACTTTACCAGCCTCCTTAGCAACAGGGTGTGACCACATGACCAAGTCCCTAACTATGTCATGAGAGCCAACCACTTTTGCCAGCCCCACATGCTTCAAAGGAAGTTGGCTGCCCTGGCCTTTCTCTCTCACCATCTTTGCTGGTTGCACACAGATGTGGCAGCAACAGCTCTGCACATGTTAGCAAGAACACACCCTAAGGGCAGTGATTTCTCAACACGTAGTCCTTGGACCAGCAGTATCAGTATCACCTGGGAACTTGTCAGAAATGCAAATTCTCAGGACCCCACCCCAGAACTACTGAATCAGAAACAGGGGCTGGGCAGCCTATGTTTTAAGAAGTTCTCTGGGTAATTCTGATGTGGGCTTAAGCTTGAGAGCCACTGCTCTAGGGCATCATGAGCCACAAGAGGGAAGGAACACGGTGTCTGGAGCAGTGCAGCCTGCAGCTGGGAGTCTCTGAGCCTTTATGTGACAGACCTACAGGCAGAGCCCTGGTACATAATGGGATTCAACAGATATGTGACTGACAAAATGAATGGAAAATCTAG